GAGGACGTTGAGGAACACGTAGTTGGCAGTGGGGGACTCCGTGTCGTAGGCAAGAAGCTTGAGGTAGGAGGGAAAATACTCCACTTGCTCAAACATCCAGCTGATCATGTAGAGTCTCTCCTCTGGGCCCATCTTGGCATCGAACCCGTTGAGGAGCACTTGAACTCCGCACAACTTCTTCTGGTCCATCCTGCTTTCGGTGGTCAGCCAGCGGAGGTGTTCGTGTTGACGAAGTAGACGATCGTTGAGGCCTTTCACAACGGTCTCCACCTGCATGACCATTTGCTGGATTTCGGTGCGTATCACCCCGGTATGATACGCTCTCACCGTTTCGAGCACTTCCTGGCGAGTAGTAATCGGGCCCTGAAGCCAGGTCTGCATCTGAGCTGGGTCGCGAGCGTCCACACCAGCCTGTATTGCAGTGAGCTCATAGGATGCAGGCTGGTCCACATCGAAGGGCTGGATGAGGCGGTCCTGGGTCGACCCTCCAGCGGGCGCCTCTGTCCGGGTTGCCTCTACGCTTTCCATAGGCACATCCTCCTGAGGAGTAGTCAAGCCTGAGGAGGTAATGCCCACTGTTGATGGCGGGCCTCTCTTTTTCACACAAACCACGACTGCTGCTTGGTTTGATAAAGAGCTGCCACTCCGGCCTGATGAAAGGCTGTCTGCTGAGCCTCCTGCAGCTGTTGTCCAGGGATCTCGCTTCCAGACGCAGCCATTGGGTCGAGAGGAGTAGCCTTGAGGGCTTCTACTCCTTCTTTCAAGAAGGCGCTGACCACCACCTGGACCACCAAAACGTAACTAACACTGTGAGGAGTTAAAATCATCCTTGCAAACCATGCAACCATGCACATGCCGAAGAAGCTTAAGCCGAAGCGCCTAGGTTTATGGCTTAGGGTTTAGGGTTTAGGGATTTAGGGTCGGGGGCTTAGGGTTTAGTTAGGGTTGAGGGTTTAGGGATTAATTTGGGTTTAGGGATTTTGGGTTTGGGGATTTTGGGTTTAAGGTTCAGAGTTTAGTGATTTAGGGTTTGGGGTTTAGGGATTTAAGGGTTTAGGGCTTTAGGGCTTAGGGCTTTAGGGTTTAGGGTTTAGGGATTCAGGCTTTAAGGGATTCAGGGTTTAGGGATTGGGGGTTTTGGGCTTAGGGGTTAATACGGCTTTAGGAATTTTGGGGCTTGTTTCGTCGATGTAAAGTATACTTCTTCTTTTCAAATACTACTCCCATAAGCAGCATATAATCTCTTAGTACATTTGGGACCATAGGGTCCCAAAACAATTACTACTCACCTGGTGAGTTCTTAAGGAAGGCTTTATGTGTTAGGGTTGTTTTTTAGGGTTGAGCATTCAGAGTGTGGGCCCGAAGGTTTTACAGTCTCCCTTAAGTAGAGAGCATATGGGGTAGGTGGGGGGTTTATTTTAACATACCCAAATGCATATTCTATCTACTTGCGGGGGACTATAAGTTTAGAGCAGCTTATGAAGTTGAAATGTCAACGCTCGAGGCTCATCAAGTTCAATTCTCAATCCGGCCTCTTCACGGATGCTGCCAATTGGGCTCCCATATACCATAGTACCCGAAACCCTAAGCCTCAAACTTACTATAATGTCTTTGACACCCTGACACCTGCCATGGACCCCTTTGTGGCTTCACGCTTGCGCCTTGGCTTCGTGCTCCGGCTAGTGTATGGGCAAGGGGCTTAAAGTTGAGGTGTGCGCTACTACGCATACGTCTAGCGAAACAATCTGATCATCTATCCAACGCTGCCCTAGCTAACCAAACAGCACTGGGCAGCCACCACTTCTAGGTACCCCACCCTTCGAGTCCTCTCAGGCAGCTAATGTGTTAGTCTGTCCGACATAAAATACCGGAAAGAAAAATCTATTGAAGACCTAGTCTTCAACAAGGACTCCGCATTTTGAGACCTTCAACTGTGTCTCTGCAGCCCTTTACATCTCTAAAAAGCAAACTCCCTGAGACTGTGACGACCGGATGGCACCGGGGGCCGTGCAGGCCTACCGTCAGGTTTTTGCCTATGTAGGGACAGATAAGTTTATATGGGGGGGGATTATAGGGTTGTATGGGGCGTATATAAGGTTATGTGGGGATACATAAGGGTATATAACATCATATAAGAGGCATCTAGGGTTGTATTGGGATGTATCGCGTATGGGTTGGAAAAGAAAATGGACAACACCCCAAACCCTAGACAGAGTCTTTGGAGATTTCCTATTGCAATCACAAAGCGCCACTATAGCCCACACCCCTAGCAGAAAGGGACCTTCCCCAAACCCGAGCCCTTCCAAGCACATCCCCATATGCGGTTAACAGGGAGATTAGCTAATGGGATCTGGGCTCAAGGCCGCCTTGAATGATATCTTTTGTTGGGCTTCCTACTTGGACAGTTCTGCTTCCGTATCCTACATTTTGTTGGGGGCTTGCTTGGACAGTCCTGCTTCTGTGTACTACATTTTGTTGGGGGCTTACTTGGACTTTTCTGCTTCCCTAAACCCTAGACCCTAAAACCTGCATTTTCAGTAGGCCAGGCCCAGTTTACTACACGGCTCATGGCTCCAGAGGCCTCGAGCGAGAATTCCTCCTGCGCCTCATCATACCTCATGTGAGCATTGGGGTTATATAGGGATAATGGAAAAGAAAATGGAAACTACAATTTAGGGTTTAGGGTTCAGGGACCCATGAAATCCACAATCATATTAGTTCATGTGAGCCATAGTCTAAACTCCTAGTATCCCCCTTCATAATGGAGAATCAAATGGAAAAGAAAATGGAAAATGAAATGGAAACTGGGATTACATAGGGGATTGTAGGGGTTATAGCCTAGACTCCTAGTATCCCCCTTAATAATCCCTCTAGTAGTTCCCCATATAATCCCCAATGTAACCCCCTTTAAGGAGTTTAGACTGTAGCTCATGTGAGGATGTCTCCACATGTTGGCTCGTTGTTCCTCTACCAAGCACGCATCCTACTTGTAGGGGACTATATAGGGAATGCTATTATAGGGATTATTAAGCCCCTTCCGGCGGATTCGACTGTTGTCTTGGGAGCAGCTATTGTAGATGCCTGGATAATTACAATTACACATGTCATGTTTAGGTTTGTATGACATACTCTATACTACAAGTAAATAAGCAAACTATGACCATAATATTGGAAATTACATGGTTGCTCTTTACTCCCCAAATAAACGTCTAACGAAAGGAGGAATCTGAAAGGCTTTCAATTATAAAGTGACAAGCTAGCAGAAGGTCCTACAATGGTTATTTCGTTTTCTACAATATGTAGAGGGCGGGGAGAACTGCAAATGCTTGGCCTCTGCTTGTACTTTGCAGCTTTGCGATGAACCCGGGCTCTGCTGCTAAAAAATTGCCGGGAGAGATCCACAAGGAAACTCCTTTCTCTGGGGTTCAAAGGGCCCCTTAGGGTTTAGGAGTTAGGGTTAAGGGTTTCAGGGTTTAGGACTTAAGCACCCCACTGTGATGAGGATCCTCGCACTTTGGGTAATTTTGGATAAGCCTATTTCCCTAAACCCTAAACCCGAAACCCTAAGCCCTAAACCCTAAACCCGTATATCGCATCTCGAAATCACAGCTGTCCCGTAAGGTGCCGGCTGCTGGACGAGGGGCTGCTCCACGATGTACTGCTCCTCCTCACCGGCTCCCGCAACCCTACATCCCAAAGCCTTCAAGTTGAGGCTTAGTGGGCACTTGCAGCAGGCTCCCATGCTACTCCCAACAGATTTCTTGTTGAGGGGGGAGGCTTGGTAAACATGACTTACGAGTCAGGAATTTGAGGAGTCTTGGGAGACAGTTTCTCATTATTGGGAAACCCAAGCCGCATCTAGAAACACAATGAGTCCGGCCTGCATTTGCGACTGCGACGACGACGACGTCTGCGTAAACGGCGGCGACGGCGACATCACAGCTACCTGAACACTAAGCCTAAAGGTTTAGGGTTTAGGGCTTGGCGTCATTCTGTACCCCAATACATATTACATGGACTCCCACCCAGCAATATAAAAGGGTAATGGTGATTATAGTAAGGCACTCTTCCTAATTGTACCGCTACTAAAGTGTGGGGGGCTACACCTAACGAATAATGGCCCCCCATCTCCTACAAACTGCATAAAACGCAGTGAGGGCACTTGCTAGGGGACCTGTGTTTCAGAAAGTACCCTGGGTAACAGCCAGTAAATTGGAAAGGAAGACCTAAGAAGAGTAACGGATTCCAGGGATAGAGTTGCCTCACGCTGCATGGATTTCCAAACCCCCAAAAAGAAAGCCAAAACAGCCAAGCCTTGAAAGTAGAGTTTAGGATTTGGGGTTTAGGCAGTTTAGGGTTTAGGGATTAGGCAGCTTAGGGGTCCTCACATGCCGAGGCTTATGAGACTTGGGAAGTACGTATCACTGGGATTCGAACCCCACTTGTACTTTGTGGAATTACACGTGAAATCAGTTGGGGTCGTTATCAGTGGGGCGTTCTGCTCAAGCATGAATAGTTACTGAGTCGCAAGAACCTCTAAGTAGTTGCAGGTTAAACGAAAGTGGCAAATATGGTAACGACTATCACCTCCACCTGTGAGCCCTTGAGTAAGTGTCGCTGTAACGCTAAACCCTAAACCCTATATCAGATCTTTGCATAGGATTAGGGCTATGTGTCGGGAGGGGTCTCCAAGTGGTTTGCAACAGTACGGCTCCCAAAGCGAACGGGCCTGATTTGCCTTTAGGGTTTCTAGTCCCCCTTAAGTAGATAGAGTATGGGGTATATAGGGATCTTACTATAATTTACCCAAAACCATATTCTATCTACTGAAGGGGGACTATAGGGTTTAGGCTTGTCGCCTAACGCAATGGGAGTCAATCGCGACAGCCCCCTGGAACCTAGCGACAGCAACAAACAAAAAGCTTCTCGGGATGCCACCCTGCCCTCCCCCAAACAAGCAGGGACCCCAATACAACTGTCTTCTTGCCGTGGTACGTAGCGGTTCCAAATAAGGGGCCCAAAATTTGTGGACCCATGAACCCCGATATGGAGCCAGCGTGCATTTCATCTTGCATGTTCCTTTCCATTACTGGGTAACATCCCTAATTTTCCAAAAGCCCTAGACCCTACATATCTCTACATAATCCCCTACACAACCCCAGTATCCCTTTTAAGTGGGGTAATATGCCTAAACTCCAAGCCCCGAGCTCAGAGAGCGATGAGGCGAAAGCGGGGGAGTGACGCTGGCGAGGCGAGATTAGCGGCTGCGGGTGGGGGTCAAGTGAAGCGCCCTTAACTTAACCCTCAACCGTGTTTTGGGTGTCTGTAGATTTCTACAGCCGAATACAGGGTTGGGCTCGCTTTGTCGGAACAACGGTTTAGGGTCGGCGTGCCGCATCCAATGTTGTGGCGTGGAGGCATCAAAGTAATTTCCACAAATTGGGGTTAACCCCATAACGGACCCTAGCATACTATATTCCTGATTATAGGGAACTTTTTTCCCTCGAAAAGCGCCTAATTTCTGGAAACATCCAGCTGAA